ATGTATATTTATATGTATATGTATGTATGTATGTATGTATGTATGTATGTATGTATGTATGTATATATGTATATATTCCCTAAGCCCTGATCTAGTCTCCGGCCCCTGCTTATGATGATGCGGTGATGCAGACGAGGATGATGATTGTCATCAGGTAGAAGGTGAGGAATCAGATGATGACGGTGGTCATGGTGGTAATGTTTTTGATGATGACTCAAGCTGTGACTGAAATTATATGAGTATGAACATGAGGACAACGAAGAAGATGACGATGGTGATGACTGTGATGACGTTTCTAAGTTTTGCCGTCGTCGTGCTTGTTGTTGTCATGAATGGTGTCACCACTGACCAAAACCCTGAACCCTAAGCCCTCAGCCCTAAACCCTAAACCCTAAACCCAAACGTTCGGAAAAGGGCAGCGGCAAGGAGGCCAGGAGGAGATCCTCCGAAGGCGAAGCCGGTTGGAGGGGGCAACTGAGGTCTGGCGAACCCCTGCGCCTAAACCCTAAACCCTAAACCCTAAACCCGTTGAGAGTTCCGTCTGTGACATGTTCCTCTCCATCATCTGTATACATCGATTGAGAGATAGATGGATAGATAATTACATCGATAGGTAGAGAGGTTGATAGATAGACAGACAGATAGGTAGATAGGTAGGTAGACAGATAGGTAGATAGATAGATAGGTAGATAGATAGATAGACATGTGTGTATGCATGCATGCTGTACTGTACGTTTTTATGTATGTATGTATGTATGTATGTATGTATGTATGTATGTATGTATTTCTATACATATGTGTATATATGTATATCATGGTATCTATACAAACTTTCCTGGTTCTATTCATCATGTTTTTCTTCGTTCGCTTGTTTGTTTTTCATGTGTCTTCCTGCACCTTTTTGTTTGATGTACAGTTGTGCTTGTTCTTGGCCATACCATCACACCCTTGTGAAGCGTGTAACTCTGCCAAGAGCTGCAGTGAGGTCCCTCAGGAGACTTCGATCCTCGCCAACCTCTTCCCCATGCACTTTGGCGGAAGCGTGCGTGGGCCGATCCACCTTTACTCCCACAGGCAAGCCGGCACTCGATCTGCTAGCAGCACAACCTGAGTTACGAACATCTTCATGCGGGGGTTTCCGAAAATAGGGGACCCTAAGATAGTACCCCAAATGATAGGATCCTCATTATGAGGACCCCAAAATAAAGTAACCCTCCTTTTCGGAAACTCCCATGTGTTATGCGGCCCCACGCTCCCGGTTAGAGGAATCAACTGCCTTTGCTTCGGAAAAGAGTCGATCCAACCGGCAACACCGCTTGCTGGTTTCGAGATGCGCTTCGGCACATAGGGGTTAGTCGGATTGGCAAAGTCTTTTGAACGCATGAACAGAGCAGAATGCTGAACTCAGCACCAATATACCTGCCTTGCTAGATGAGATGCAAATCTTGCACATGCCCGGGCTATCTTAATTTGTGCAACTGATTGATTGAATCTGTCTGATTCAGCTTCAATGGCTTTGGCAACGTCATCGCGTTCCAGCGCGCCACCACGGTCCTCTTGCTGCGTGCTCAGCACTTGGGGCGTCATCAGTCGATCTCGTTGGGGGTCCAGGCTCCAGCCGGCTATGACAGAGATCTCTCCGAGAAGAAGCGGCTTGTTACAGACACTAGTTCCTAAATATAGTGGGATCCGCACAAGTAGTCACTAAGTAGTCAGATTTTAAGAACCCCCTGTAGAGCAGTTAAGGCAGCCTTCAGCCTGGCTTGGCTGGGCTCATGCCTGGTGTTTCTCATAAGCTCCAAACCCTAAACCCTAAACCCTAAACCCTAAATCCTAAACCCTAAACCCTAAACCCTAAACCCTAAATCCAAAGTTTTAAAACTGCCAACCCCATGCAAACCCAAAACATGCCAAAACTACCCTGGAACCCGAAAGCTCCCAAACCTTGAACCCCTCCACTTTGTTATTATCCACTGTTATGACTATGATTATTATTGTTATACCATTAATATTATTATTGGTATACTACTAATATTATATGATTGTTATACCATTAATATTATTATTGGTATACTACTAATATTACATTATTGTTATACCATTATTATTATTGGTATACTACTAATATTATATGATTGTTATACCATTAATATTATTATTGGTATACTACTAATATTACATTATTGTTATACCATTAATATTATTATTGGTATACTACTAATATTTAAAATATTGTTATACTATTAATATTGTTATTGTCACTCAAGAGCTTTACCACCAGGTCCCTGCAAAAGAAGCTGCGACCCGGGACGGAGCAGGACGGCTCAGAATTCGGGGAGCACGGCCTGCGGAGAGGCTTTTCCACCATGAAATCCTTCAACCTCAATCTGGAAGCCTAATAAATAATTGACACTACTTTTCCCAAGTGTTCCGTAAAAGAAGCAACAGTAAACCATCATATACCCCAAAACCCTGGCCTCACCGTTAAGGCCCCAGTGTTAGACACCCTTGAGCTCTAAGCCTTCAGGGCACGACTGTTGATATAAATACTGCATTACCTTAAGGACCCTAAGCTGGGAGTTATGGTATGTTCCCAATTATGGGTCGTGCAGGATTATATATCATCAACCCTATCATGCAAGCCTGTTGGCATCGACCCATGATTCGCAGGAAGGGCGACAGTTTAGGGTTTAGGGTATTGGGGTTTAGGGTTTATAGGTTTTAGGGTTTAGGGTTTAGGGCTTAGGGTTTAGGGTTGAAGGTTTAGGGTTTAGGGTTTAGGGTTTATGCTGCATTGCTCCTCGTGCTTGTCGTTTTAGGCCCGCAGATTTCAGGATTCCAGGGGCTTTGACCCTGTAACGTCCAAGAGCCTAACTCTAAACCCCAAACCCTAAACCCTAAACCCTAAACCCTAAACTCAACCCCAAGAGCCTAGGCCCTAGAGTCCAAAGAGACCCCCAAGCCATAAACCCTGCAGGCGGGCCAGAATAAAAGCAACTAAAGGCCCAATAACAACAAATCCAAAACTATGTTGGTACTCTGGTACCCTAAACCCTAAACCCTAAACCCTAAACCCTAAACCCTAGTTCAGGAGGTTCGCCATCCCTGCATGCCCGAGGGCCTGGAATGGGCGGCCCGCTTCTCGGGGTTCTGTGCATGTTGGGTTTAGGGTTTAGGGTTTAGGGTTTAGGGTTTAGGGTTTAGGGTGGGACTTCTAGGAACTTTGGGAAGAACAGAAGGGTTCAGGGTTTATAGGGCTAGGGTTGAGGGCTTCCAGGAAGGGCTACATACGCTTGCGGACTTTGTACAAGGACTCGCCGAATGCAATTCTCGTTTAGGATTCGATCCTTGTTGTTCGTTCTTGCATCATTAAGCCCTTTCAGGGGCCCTGCCTGCAGCAGTTGCCCGAAGTGAAGCTGAGAGTTGATAGAGCTGCAGTGGTGTTCCGCTTTCGCTTTTCCGGCCTAAACCCTAAACCCTAAACCCTAAACCCTAAACCCTAAACCCTGACACTGCTCTTGTCCTCGCCCTCTCGTTTGCACTCCTACAGGTCGACTACGATGAGTTTGGCGCGACTCGGCAGCCGTGTTCCTTTAGAGCAGCTTTCGATGTGGAAAGATATCAATATGAATGGCCAAACTCTAACTACTCTGATTGCTGATTGGTGTGCCCTGTCTTCCTGAAGGCAAGTGGTGGCAACGAGCCCTGACAGTCATTTCTAGAGAACCAAACCCGAATCTCGAGTACAAGATACGCTCAGAAAGTCACTGAGCCCTAAAGCCCGCAGACGGACGAAGCGAAAGAAACAGAATTGGTTCCAGACGCTCCACGAAGCCCTGACACACGGATGCAATAAGTCTTACCGGCCTTGAGGTGAGCATCAACAGCACCAATCCCGAGCGCAAATACGGCCCTCTGAAGCGCGGGCCCCGGCTGTTTGCCGAGCTGGGACGAGGCTTCAGGTTTTGGATTCAGGGCATCTCTTCGTCGCGGAGCGTGATAGCTGAATACTGAATGTGGCCCTGCACACCAATCAACAGCCAGGCCCCAGACAAGATCTGTTGCCTCAGGCGTCCTTTCCACTAAGTGGAAACATCCTCCATTTGCTTTATCAGGATTCGCCATGTCGCTCGCCAGCGCGGCTTGGGAGACCGTACAGGTACGTATCACCCGGACGTTTCTGGACGTCGTTGAGGCGGCCGGCACAACACCGGAACCAAGAATTCGCACGATGCCGGCGCTTCCCGAGTTTGACCTCGAGGAAGAGGAGAGCCTGCACCGGGCCATGCTGCGGCACAGCCAAGCTTCGAAGAGAAGCATTTCGAGCCAGATCAGGAAAAGGAGTTTGCCGTGCGGGTCACGCGGACGTTTCTGGACGTCGTTGAGATGGCCAACCAAGCACCGGAACCAAGAGTTCGCACGATGCCGGCGCTCCCCGAGCTTGACCCCGTGGAAGAGCCTGCACCGGGCCGTG